AATCTAACAGAAACTTCAAGACTTATTATGCCTCAGAACATGAAAATTCTTGGATGTTTAAGAATTTTTGCGGAAAGTTCCAGAAAAATTACGGAACGTGTTGTTAAAATCTCCCCCTCACGGTGACTCATGGCTAGCCGTGAGGCGTCGGACGGATGAGTAATTTTTACGGAACAGATCGTAGAATTTACGTGACGATTGACACTTTTTATTGAATTTTACTTCGTTCCCAGATTACGTTTCGAAACGTAATTTTTACTTCTTTTTTCTGGTAATTTTTATTGAATATTTCTCCCCGTGTATGAATAAAAATAAGCTATGACTCAATATTCCAAATGAAGTTTTAATTTTTAGTTTGGTGCTGAAAACACGAGATGACAATATTCTAAGCGCGGAATTATATTGATGAGATGAACAAGAGATTAATTGAATTACCGTGTGAACTAACTAAAAATTGATAACAGTGTGGGCACGTACTTTTACCAGAGTATCAACAAACATTGATTTGTGTTCTAGAAGGAATTGAATTGTATAATTATGATTAAAATCTTATTCAGTGGGCGTAGGAATTAGAACATGAGCAAATCATTTATTGCATTATGAAAATTTAACAGCTGATAAATTGGGCCATATGATTCTCATCAGTCGTATTGCATTTTGCAATGAGAATGACTATAAGCAATTAATTGAAAAAAGGAGTATTGAATCTGACAGGAAAAAGGGCACAATGAAACTCCAAACTTGCATCCCTCCCCGTGACTTAAACAACTCTGACTTATTGAAAATTCATTTACCCTCAACGTAAAACTGGAAAAACTCAAGTAGTCCACACGAGCATCTTCCCCATTAATTGATGAATTATTCCCCGCAGATTACCACAAATTCACCGACACCCATACCCACACGCTGACTCACAGCGTAAATTACGGGAGACAGTAAATGCATGACACCGAGTGATTGATGCTGAAAAAACCCCAGTAATTTCTCATCCAATAAGGAATCAACTGTTGCACCTCAATGCTCATTAAAATTTAAACGAATTACAAGTAAGATTTGCAGCAGACGTGCAGCATGAATGTTTCATTCTCAATTACTCAGCTGCAGTGTTCACGTACACCCGGGAGATCTTGCGAACGATTGACTGCTTCAAATAATCTAGGGTAGAATTTCAGATTTTTCATTAGCCGTTGAGGATGAGACAATTAAGGAGTAGAAGTGAAACTCGTTGGCATTTGTCAAGTGGTTAGTGTCAGCGTTGATTTCCCCGGTGAATATTACATACATCTGTGTACATGTGCACTGAATATCATAGTTCATGCATGTATGCGCCTTCCGTTGGAAGACCGAGAGGGAAGACTAGACCTCCGCTGTTGTGAGGATATGAGACCGTGTACGCCCTACTACCGGGGTAATATCTATTATTGCAAACTTGCTCGCAGGTACACTAGCTCCTTTTGCCCTCTTACATTCTCATTTTTACCCGGGGGCTTTGTGCCCTGAGACGGCTTGCAACAATTTCGGCTCAACTGGAAAATCTCATCTGCCCATTTTTCTATATTTCGCTTATGACTCCTAGGTAAATGTGGATACATTATCGGAGTTTCTGGAAGATAATGCGAGAGATGGGGTCGGGGCCTCATCCCGACATCTGGCGGAATGTTGGCGGTCCTAACCTCGTTATGCATGCGAAAGGAAGATGACTTAAAGTAGCTCTACCCTTACGGTAAATTCAAAGATTATTGAAAACTGCAAAAAAATTGCAGAAGACTCGATTAGATTCGGAATTCTAATTTTTTTCTCAATTTAATTATCGTTTTGATTTTTCAAAGAAGAAATGTTTAAAAATTAGGCTTTTACCCAGTTTCTTATGTGAAAATTTACATTTTTATTGTAATCAAAGATGAAAATCTGATTCTTTTCTCATTAGATATGAAAAAATCAAGAATTTTTTTGACACCTCATAAAAAATAATCCACTGTTTTGCAAACAAGTTTTATTATTTATTCATAAGAGGGAAATGTTTGAAAAAATATCAGTATTTTGCAAAATTAAATTTAGATAATACTGACTGGGTATGAATTTTTTCAAATTTTTTCCATGCAATTTAGTTGAAATATTTAAAAACTGAAAATATCCAAAAGTACAGCGTAGCCCGGCCGAAAGGTAGAGCTACTTTAAGTTGAGAGTTTCGAAAGTCTCGTTGAGAGAAAAAATTAGACATGTTCCCCCTGAAGATATCTTTTGTCGTGTTGAATCAATTCAATTGTGGACAAAAAAGAAAGTTTCCACCAAAACATGATAATTTTCGTACTAGTAATTGTTCTCGTGAGACATTTGTCTTTCGGGTAAATAAATCCGTCCTACAGAGAATTATATGAGGCTCCGGTTTCATTCGGCGTAGCCCGGCCGAAGGGTAGAGCTACTTTAAGAACGTATTACACCCTTTTCGCCAAAATTCACGTTTTTTTAAATTTTTCTGGCAAATTGTTAATCGGATTGACGTAAAAAAATATACCGTTTTTGCGTTTTATGATTACTTAATGACTTACGAAATTTCATAATCGTGCTATCATTTGTCTGCGTTTTTTCTAAAACTTTTCGGCAATTCACAAAATTTGAGAAAATAAGCAGGAAAATGCTCTACCATGAAACTTCGTGAGTCAGTCAATAATGATAAAATGCAAAAACGGTATATTATTTCGCGTCAATCCGATCAATAATTTGCCAGAAAAATGAAAAAAACTTGAATTTTGGCCGAAAGGGTGTAGTACATCCTTAAGGGGTAACGGAATGCACTTAATTTTCCACATTTTGGAACAAATTTCCTGCCGAAAGTTATCGATATTTTTACAAATCAAAGCACATTAATCTGCAGAAGGCGATGATGAAAACCCGAATAATTTGTATTGGTTGTATATTTTTAATGCATGCACTCAGTGCCAGTGAGGAGGTTTTACGAATGGATAAAACCAGTCGAAATGCCAGAAGCTTTTTTACGACTGGCGCTTCCAGGTTTAATCGCGGAATGAAGGAAGAGAAAAAAAAAGGCAAGGAGTCGAGGGGATTGTGGTATCCACAAGGATTAAGATCGTAACATCACGTTCGCTACTTGACGCCACTCCTCCCACTTTTCTCTCTGGGAGACACGAAGAGGGTTTCTCGCACCTTCCTACGCTTGGCTGGTGTATATTTCTTCTTTCCTTTCTCATTGTTCTCAGAAGCCAACGCCGATATTCATTGCACCGTCTTTTCTACTCCGGTGATAAGGGAGGGAATGGGAAAATGGAACATTTTTTAAATTAATCTTTTTGCGTAATCCGTCAGATCTTGAAATGTTGATTTTTTTTTCACTTTTTGCAATAATTTTGTCGGGGTAATATTTAAGGGTTGGAGGGAGAAAAGTTGGATAAAAATTACCGAGAAAATTGTGATAAATTTTACTGTGCGAAAGGTAATTGTGGAGCGAAACGGAATTCAATGAAAAAATATCTGTTTGTGGAGAATATTTTACGATTCTTTCAGTAAAAAAAACATCTATGGATACAATAATATTAAAATCCACTCATCACTAGTTTTTTATTTCAAGAAAATTCATTGGGTATGAGATGTCAATTGGACAGGTTATGACAACCTGAGTATAGAGACGCCACCGCAAGGGGGCGCAGTAGCCGAACAACACCAACGGCAAAAGGCATAACGCGGGGAATGGCATTTTCAGTTTTTCAATTTTTCAACTAAATTGCATGAGAAAAATTTGAAAAAATTCATTCCCCGTCAGTATTATCTAAATTAAATTTCGCAAAATATTGATATTTTTTTTTCAAACATTTCCTCCTTATAAATAAATAATAGAACTTGTTTGCAAAACGGTGGATCATTTTTTATGAGGTGTAAAAAAATTTCTTGATTTTTTCATATTAAATGAAGAAAAATTTATTTTTAAATCCTGATTTTTAAACATTTTTCTTTTGAAAAATCAAAACGATAATTAAATTGAGAAACAAATTGGGATTCCGTACATTAACAAAAATAATTTTGAAATGAATTCCAAAAATTCAAATAAAACCTCTTATTGAATTCAAGAGCCCCATTTACCCGCCCATTCGCTATTTTCCCAGCTCAACAAATTATTTTTGCGACATTACCTACCTAACAGTCCCGAGCCTTCCCAATTATCTCAGTCTCAATAAGCCCGTGAAAAGGCACATAACTAACATTTAACGCAATTTTATTTCGCCTTTTGATTCAATGTCAGGGTTCATTTCAAAGTCGGAAAAAATCCTTGCAAAGTGAAAAAAAAAATTTCGAATTCACTCCTTTTATCCAATTCCGCTAAATATTTATATCAATGCCCAAGTGGGATTTGAAATCCATTGTCTTAAGAACAAGATCGTTAGCTCAATCTCGCCATCAACAAAAACACTCTTGAAATGAATTCACAAAATTCAAATAAAACCTCTTGTTCACTTCAAAAGCCCCATTTACCCGTCCATTCGCTATTTTCCCAGCTCAACAAATTATTTTTGCGACATTAGCAACCCAAGAGTCCCGAGCCCTCACAATTATCCCAGTCTCAAGCCCCTGAAAAGGCGCATAAGTAACGCGCCACCCCCGATATTAGCATTTAGCGCAATCTCATTTCGCCGATTTTGCCGTACAAGTGATGCCAAGATTAAAGAAATCCCGCGAGCGCAAGAGATAAAGCCGGTGGAGAAAGGGAAACGGGAGAAATGTGACTGCTACACACTGTAATAACGAGTGCCGATGCTCGTGCGCACACGCGTGCCTCTCGCCAGCATTCGGCGTGGCTCGGGTGATGTCGGCTCGTTGTACGGGGGGGGAACGAGGGACGCAGGATTGGATTCTAAGCGCTCCAATAGACGCGCGGAGGGGCAAGAGCGGTGTAGGGGTGATCTTGCTGGAGTCCGCGTGTCGTTGACAGCAAGAATAGGCCCGTGCTGTGGCCAGCGCCAATGAAAGCAGTGGTAGCCGGTCTCTCCGTGTGGCAACATCGTTCCGTGTTGTTAGTTTTGTCGTGTTCCGCGGAGCAATTCGTAGCAACTGACACGATATTTTGATAATATTTCGCGATTTTCGAGTGTTTGGGGACTGTGACAGTCACTTTATCGAGTCGTATTGTTCGTACGTGATTTTTTTGTCAAGTTAATCAGTGAATTTGTTTGTTTATGTTGTTTGTTTATGTTCAGAGGCGGAAGGTGCGTGATTCAGTGTGAAAAACGTGAGTTCTTATAGGTTTGGAGGGCTTTTTTTCAATCAGTTTTCCACGGACTGGCGAACGAGTCTTCTACGGCTGCATCAACCGGCTTTCGAGGTTAGTTCGTAGTTTTTTTTATTCATTTTTTTTGGGTAATAGGCTTGTGGGATTGGGTTGTAATCTTTATTTACTCGGTGATAAAGTCTTGATTCTCGTGCTGTTGCGGTTTTATTGCGAAATGGAGAGGAGATTGTGGAGCATAGGCTGGTGGCAGATTGTGAGGCCGGTGGCATTTGGGAAATTGCGGGGTTTGAGGGGATCTTTAATGTGGCCGTGAATCAGGGAGACAGGGTTAGTGGCTGATGGCTGATCGTAAAGGCTTGCGTGTCCTTGATATCGGGTTTCAGGAAAATTCGGAAGTTATTGCGGGGTTTAGGGTAGATGAGGAGTGCTCCGGACGAGTGAAATGGCTATTTGGAGCGGGAAAGGTCAGGGATTAATGAACTCTTAAATCGGAAATGTTTGTTTACTGAAAGGAATGATTTGAACTAATTAAGTCTCATTTTAACGCCGGAAATAATATCAGAGATATGAAAAAAAAATTTACATTCACACGTTCGGTGTTGGGTTATTTATCTATTGATAAAGAAAAATTAAATGCTAATTGGAGTAGGGAGAGGTCGGGGAAAATTAATTCAGTAGCGAAGTGGTCAGACGGTTTAAGTAGATTTTGGCTATTGGCCAGTTTTCAATAAATCTCTCGAAATCTAAGGGAGATGGCAAAATTTGTCTCAGGACCTTTTTAGTAACACTCAATTCGCTCGACAAAAAAGGTCATTATGAAAATTTCGCTATCTCCTTTAGATTCCGAAATATTTCTGGAAAACTCAACTAAAGACCAAATTGACTTAAACCGTTTGACCACTTTGTTACTGAATTCTGTTGAATCTTCATATCTGTTGTATTGATTGTACGATTTGGATGAGTCAAGGTTTATTTTAAAGCCGGAAAAAATATCAGCGAAATGAAAAAAAAATCTTGTAAATTCACTCTGTGGAACTTGAGTTATCTTTATCTATTAATAAAGAATAATGAATGCTAATTCGGAGTAGGAAGAGGTCAGGGAAAATGGATTCTTTTGAATCTTCAATAACTTTTGACTGAATGGTACCATTTGGATGAGTCAAGGTTTATTTTAAAGCCAGAAAAAGTATCTGTGAAATTAAAAAAAATCTTTTGCATTCACTCTGTGGATCTTGAGCTATTTTTATCTATTAATAAAGAAAAATGAATGCTAATTTGGAGTAGGAAGAGGTCAGGGAAAATGAATTCCGTTAAATCTTCAATATCTTTTGATTGAATGGTACGATTTGGATGAGTTAAGGTTTATTTTAAAGCTGAAAAAAATATAAGCGAAATGAGAAAAAAATCTTTTAAATTCACTCTGCGGATCTCGAGTTATTGACCTGCTGGAAAAAATGAGGTGCTAATTTGGAGAAGGAAAAGGTCAGGGAAAAAAACTCTATTGAATCTTAAATTTCTTTTGACTAAATATTGCGATTTGGATAAGTTAAGTCTCATTTCAAATTTCGGGATTATTCTACTATTATTTCAATATTCATTGAGTCAAGGCCTCATCTGATATGCTTTAATTATATTCAGGTAGAATTGTGAATTTTCGTGATATTATAAAAGACATTAGAAGCTTGAGTAGATTAATTTCAGAACAGGAAAAATGATTAATTCTAGAATGAGAATGTTCTCAATATAAAAACCCAAATGTCCTCATTTCAAGAAAAAAGATTTCCTCAAGATAACCGTAAATGGATACTTATTTAAATACAGTTTTGCTGTAGGTTCACAAAAAAAATTATTTTTCGGAGAAAATCACTCTAGAATGAGTGGACACTGTTCATATTTCAAGAATGCGAAAAATCAGGAATTTTTTTACTGAAATATAGAGACTTTTTCCGCAGAGAAAACTAGAGACTTTTTACATTAATTTAATGTTTACTAATATTTTTCAGGGCAGAAACAATGAAATTTTAAATTTCTTTGAAACTAGTGAAATTCTAAATTTTTCAGCTGCGAATAGATGACAATTCCCCTATTTACTTAAATTATTAATTAATAAAAAATTGAGGAATATATTAACCTGGATTTCCTTAATTTCTATTCAATTTTCTTGGAATAATTGAACACAAATTTACAGTTTCCATTAATTTTTTGAGAATAGAATTCTAAATTTTCGAGATTAATTTTAAAACAGAAAAAATAATTAATTCTAGAATGAGAATGTTCTTAATAAAAAACTCAAATGTCCTCAAAGTTGTTACTGAAAACTGAAGACTTTTTCTGCAAATGTAGAAATAATTTAATGTTTATCAATCATTTTCAGGACAGAAAAAAATATGAAATTTGAAATTTCTCAGAAAATTCAAAGAAATTCCAAACTTTTAGCTGCAAAACATGACAATTCCCCAAGTTATTTGAATTTTCAATCAATAAAAAATTCAAGAATATATTTACATGGATTTCCATTCAATTTTTTTGGAATAATTGAACAAAAATCAACAGTGCCATGAATTTTCTCATCAAATTGTGAATTTTGAATGTAAAAATTCCTTGAAAATTCACTGGAATTATAACTTGATAAAAATATAAAAAAAGTAACTATTCGTTTTTCATCAGAGCCTGTCCCACTTGAATATCCTTAATACTTAATGAACCTGCGCATATGTAGAACCCATCGCGAGTATTAGGCTTCCGAATAAGATCGTTTGCTTCATTCTGAAAAAATAATTTGTTAAATTTCCTCAGAGTAAGCGAAAAAAACATGAAATTTTCAATTTCTTTAAAAATTCAGTGAAACTCCAAATTTTTCAGCTGAAAAAAGATGACAATTCTCGAATTTCCTTGAATTTTAAATTAATAAAAAAAATCAAGGATATATTGACCTGAATTTTCTTGATTTGCATCCAAATTTCTTGAAATAATTGAACAAAAATCAACAGTCCCATGAATTTTCTCATCAAATGGTGAATTTTCAATGTAAAAATCCCTTGAAAATTCACTGGAATTATAACTTGATAAAAATATCAGAAAAGTAACTATTCGTTTTTCAGCAGAGCCTGTCCCACTTGTATATTCTTAATACTTAATGAACCTGCGTGTATGTAGAACCCATTGCGAGTATTAGGCTTCCGAATAAGATCGTTTGCTTCATTTTGAAAAAAGATTTTTTTTAAATTTCCTCAGAGTAAGCGAAAAAAACATGAAATTTTCAATTTCTCTAAAAATTCAGTGAAACTCCAAATTTTTCAGCTGAAAAAAGATGACAATTCTCGAATTTCCTTGAATTTTAAATTAATAAAAAAAGTCAAGAATATATTGACCTGAATTTCCCTGATTTGCATCCAAATTTCTTGAAATAATTGAACAAAAATCAACAGTCCCATGAATTTTCTCATCAAATGGTGAATTTTCAATGTAAAAATCCCTTGAAAATTCACTGGAATTAGAACTTAATAAAAATGAAATAAAAGTAACTATTCGTTTTTCAGCAGAGCCTGTCCCACTTGTATATTCTTAATACTTAATGAACCTGCGTGCATGTAGAACCCATTGCGAGTATTTGCGGATTATTTTAGTCTTGACGGTCGTTTGAAAAATTATACCAAACAGCTATGCAGTCCGGTTCGCGCATTAACCATTGGTATAGGTCATTTTATAACCAGTGCTAGGTGGAGGGTGCACGGAGGTAACGACCTTTGCGAGTCTATAGTACGTATTAGTTCTACAAGTTCATCGGCACCTCATCATCCTTTGGTTTATGTAACTCCACTTCACAGCGAACCGTGGATAATTTTTAATTCGCTGTTTATCGCTCGACACTTTTACCTGCTGTTTACGACAGCTTCGAATGGAATATAAAGGATCTTCCCTAGTTTTCTTGTTTACAGCCAACAATTTTATGCCCTTCAACTGAAATTCGCTTCTAAGAAGTGAATTTTTTATTGACAAACCCAAACTTTGGAATTTCATATTCATAAAATTGCGTTGCGATTAATTCGAGCGATGCGCAGACGTTGTTTTTACGACACCATCGAACAGACATGGCTGTAATTAAAATATCTTGCCTCTAATTTAATTTACATAGTCGTTGAAAATTGTTTCCCCTTGTGCTGTGAAAAGACCCTCGGCTGGCTTTGAAGGTGCAATTACTCTCGCTATTTCATCGTCACAAGTGAGCGTGGTGTCATTAAATAATATGTAATGATTTATGTTGATGACAAAACTGGGGAGAATGATTTTTTAAATTGGGGCGAGGGCACGATGATTTTTTTTTCAGTGAATTCCGGGTTCATGTACTTTGTCCATTTTTATTTATATATTTTTTTGTTATTGTTTTTTGTGCATTTTTTAAATTTCGCAAAGAATTGTAAAGTCTAGATTTTTTAGAAGTTTTGAAGGTTGCGATTTTCTGTTATGAATAATTAATATACAATTCTGTAGCGAAGTGGTAAAACAGTATAATGAATATCTCGGAATCTAAGGGAGATAGCAAAATCTTTATTATGACCTTTTTTGTAGATCTGATTGAGAGCTACAACAAATGTAATTACGAAAATTTAGCTATCTCCCTTAGATTCGGAACTATTCCTCAAAAACTCCACTGAATTAATTTTGCACCCTAAAAATTATTATCATTTTTTCTTTCTTATATTATTTTTGCTGTCCCGCCAATTGAATGAAAATGTTGATCATAGCTGTTATTAAATAAGAATAAATCGGTTTTTCTTTGAACTTTAGGGAGAAAGCAACGTTTTGATTTTCAGGGACGTATTTCTAATTTTTAGAAACCTGTCACCAAATTTTTTAGATAAAAATCATTGATAATCAGACTCATTCCAGTCAGTGTCTGATATCACTCATAATTGGTGATTGGTGTCTGAAAATTAGTGACATGTCCCTAAAAATTCCGACTTTTTCTCTGCGTTTTTTCTGGTAATTTTCAACTAAAATGAAATCGACGAAATTACAGCCTTCAAATCGATTCCAATAATTTCTTCAAGACAAAAAATGGCAAAAATGCGTTCTTAAAAAAGCGTGGGCAA